CGGCTGGAGGGCGAGGCGTGCGGCGTCTACACCCCGCGCTGCGGCCAGGGGCTGCGCTGCTATCCCCACCCGGGTTCCGAGCTGCCCCTGCAGGCGCTGGTTATGGGCGAGGGCACTTGTGAGAAGCGCCGGGACGCCGAGTATGGCGCCAGCCCGGAGCAGGTTGCAGGTAACGCGGGCTGGAGCAAGTAGTTGGGAGAAACTTGGAGGGCAGCGGGGAAGCCCGACGGGCGGCTGGACCTCACGGACTGTTTTAAGGGCGGCAGAGCAGAGACCTTGGACCAGATCAAGGGGGACTGTTGCGAGCGGGACCGGGAAGTCAGGCCCAGGGAGGGGAACTGGAGTTAGAGCAAGTGGAAGAGCCGTGGCGACTCATTTGGTGGGGATGAATGGGGAGAGGAAAGGCATCCCTGTTGCCATAGTCTTACCCGCGTGGAACGGACCCAGACTTCTATTCTGGAGGAGGGATTTGCTGAGAAGGGGGACGGTGGTCAGATCCATGGGATTAGGAACTCGAATCTTATTTGGGGCACTACTTGAGGACCCAAGGGTCCTGGTGGGATCGCTGCTGGGAGGCCGAGGCTGCGGGGTGCCAGTGACGCCAGGAACCTTGGAAGAGGAGGTAAGCTAGGAGGAGGCACCGGCGACCCCGGCGTCCCAAGGGACCCTTCCTTCAACTGGGGTTGTGAGTTAGAAAGAAAGGACTTGGTACTTTGTAGGATGGGTCGCTTAGGAGAAAAATGAAAACGAACACTACTGTTTCTCCCTAGGGAACGAGCAGGGCTCTTGCTACCACGTTGAATGGAAAAATAAAAGGGAGGCATTTGGTAGGCGAGGGGTCTCCTAGCAGCTGAATCAATGTAACTTAAGCCGGATCGCCAGCTGCATTCCCGAGACGGGGGCAGCCAGGCTGTGCAGTTTCGCATCTGGGCCCCAGATCGAAAGGCAAGAGAGATGCGTTGCCACCCCCCACCCCCGCCCGTATCCTAAATTGAGGGACCCCTTCCTGTAGGATAGAATGGGGACCCGATATTCTTTGTTCGGGGGCCCTCATCCCTCCCAAAAAGTTATTTGAGGGACACAACCAGTCTCTAAGGAGGTCACTGTTTTTTTTTTTTTTTTTAAATTACGAAAGCCTCCTGCCCCAGTGGTCGGAAGGAAGCTGTAATTATTTTCTTTCCTCTTGGAGACAGTGGTGAAAAGTGTCCGCTGCCTGCTGCTGTTGCTGAAAAAGCAAGTGAGTCTAAGTTTATCAAACTTAAAAAGAAAAAGTGAAAACAAGAATCTTGCTTTTTAGCTTCTGAGGTCTTCGTAAGTCCCCCACCCCATGCACCAGCCCGCCTCCCTTCTCCTGGTCTGCTATTGTTTTTTCCCCTGTTCTCCTTGAGAATGGAATTAGGGGTCAGAGTTGAAATCTTTCTTCTGTTTCTTTAGCACATTTTGATCTGGAGTACAGAGCAAGTTAGGGCTTCCTCTGAGTGGAGCCTCTCAGTCCCTTTCTTCTTCCTCGGCTCGCTTCCTTCCCTAGCCTGCCTGCAAGTTAACCCTTCCCTCCTGCTTCTCTTAGAAAGTAACAATGAAAGGAAAAAGCCCCCACGAAATCCTTTCACTGCGGGGTGCCTGTCCCCTAGTCCTGCGTTCCTCCTCATCACCCCTTGTGGTCCACCGGGGAGGTGCTGTGCAGTTTCTGAGCTGAACTCTGACAAACTAAACATCTTCCTCAGCAGGGTGAACTTTTTGAAAGGCCTCTAAGTTCATAGGATGGTTCGACTGCTGACGGTTTTAATAAAGTGTGTGATGCCTTTCCTTCTTTAACGTTTTACTTTTTTTTTTTTCTTCTACTCTTCGTTCGTTTCACTCTAAGCCTGAAAACCAATTCTACTTCCCAAATCCCTGAAGCCGGTTAGGGTCTTTAGCCAGAAACAGATGCGGCAGATTTTCTCCCATTCACTTTTCCCTGGAGCCTGAAGGGGGTGGGGGGGAGTTGTCAGGGGAGGCCAGGGACAATGGGGTGAGTTCATGGGAAGAATGTCACTCTGGATTTTCTGCCTGGTTATGGGACTCCCTTCCGCCAGCTTGCCCCAGCTGCCTTCTCCTCCCCAGTGCCCAGACGCCTTCCGCATTTTTGTGCACCAGCCTGGGAAGAGGGGATGTTAAGCAGGGGTGGAAGGTGGGGGGCGGGGCTGGAAGCTGAGTGGGTGCACTCAAAAGAAGTGACCAATGTCAGGGGTGCCTGAGAAAGAGTCGGGCTGGGGGAGGGGAGCACTTCGGGAAGGAGCCTGAGGGTGCAGGAGGAAAAGGGGTCAAGGTTGTGCGGGAGAGGGTCTTAGGCTGGGGCAGAGACTTGGGGTCACTGGATGGAGAGTGCTGGGTCCGAGTTGGGTGGGGCCTGGCCCAGACGGAGATCTTAGCACTGAATCCTCTGCCTCCCATTCCATCTCCCGTCCCCTCTTCTCTCCCCTCCGAAGAATGAGCACCCCCCTCCAGCCTGCATTCCTCTTTGAGCAGGTTGCTTTTGAGAATTTTAAACATACCCTCTTATTTCGAGGCAGCGAACCTCAGCAGTTCCGGCTTTGCTGTTAGCTCTTTTGTCTTTGTTCCCGGGACTCAGGGGCTGTGTTGCTGCTGGCTTCCTGGGGATGGCAAGGATGCAGGGGTGGGGGTGGGCACATCAGTGGGTGGAAGGAGTGGGTGGTGGTGAGCCTGTATCCCACGGGGTTGGTGGGCTGGGGCTTGTTGGTTCAAAGAAACTGAGAAGTCAGACTTGGGGGAAGGGGTGGGTAGGCCTAGAAGAAAAACCGAAAGGAGACCCTGAGATCTGCTTGAAGTTGGGACTCTAAAAGCATGTGTATGTGTTTGGTGGTGGAGAGGACAGAAGTGCCTAGAAATGTCAGGGTCGAGGAGGGAACAGGGTTGGGCCAGGCCAGGCCCTTTCAGAATTAAGGCTGGGCTAGACCGATTCCCTCAGTATCTCCCCAGCCTCCTTCCCTACCGTGTACAATGCAGGGGATTATACTGAGGGGCGGGGCCGCCCGAGTGGCCGTCTGGCCCGCTGCACATATAAAGGTGCTATAGAAATGTGTAGTTATTCAAAGTCCCAGGGCGGGCAGACAGGCAGGCAGGCAGGCGGGCAGGCAGGCAGGC